ATCAAGCACAAAGGTGACTCTGTTGAATTAGCTTCTCCTAGTTCTCTCCTCTGAGGGCCTTGGGAACTCATATCAGGATAAGTTGTGGCTTCTTTTTTCTTTCAGTTTTAGAAAGATGATGTTTGGATTTTTGCATATAGCTGTGAAAGTAAAAACAGGATTTATAATGCTGAGAACTGAGGAAGAATTTTGCAACTTACCCCAAAGGAGAAGTATTGGCTTTTCAGCTTCCTCTTGACAATGGGGATTGATGACACTGATGACTACATGGGAACTGAAATAGATCATTGTGGAGGGAAGAGGGTGGGGGTATCAATGGGCACTTATCCATTCCTGGTAATTAGCCTTTTGATATGCGACTTCCCAGCTTGGCTGATAGCCAGCATCTTGCCCCAAGAAGGGGTTACCTGCATATGCCAAGGAGTTCTTAGAATTGGTTCTAAGAACTCATGGAGTTCTTTGCTTATTGAAGCATCACTTCAGCTAGCAAAAGCCCAAATATAGGGTATCCATAAATGGTTTGGATTTCTAATAAATTCCCTTTCATATAAGGTATAAATAATTTGTGAAATGCGACCAAAAAGAATTTACTAGATATTGAAATTAAGTTGCTCATACTTGTTTTTCATTCTTTCATTTTGCAGGTAATGAGCTCTACATTATACTGAGACAGCTGTATCCAAGTATATCCAAAAATGATGGTGGATGATGCATTGAAAGCTGACCTTCCTGAAATCAACTGTGCAAAGCCTTGAATAAATTCTATCTTTGTTGCCTTTTGCAGATTGTTCACATTTTGTATAGAAGTGAACTTTTTAAGCATGCAGATTGCATAGAACTTTGTGGGTGCCCTGTTCCTCTTCTTCTCCTTCTAAGACACTCCTCTCTCCCCAGAGTCAGTATCATCGTCTCCTTCTCTTCCTAGATTTTGTTGTCCCCACCCCAACTTTTTTATTGTGATAAAATATACATAATATAGAATTTACCATCTTAACCATTTTTAAATATACAGTTCAATAGTTTTAAGTACATTAATATTATGATATAACCATCACCATCATCCATCTCCATAATCTCTTCATATTGCAAAACTGAAACTCTCCCCATCCTATATAATAAAACCCTAATATGCAAGTTGACCAAATGGCAAAACAACCGGTCGCTATGATATGCACTGACCACCAGGGGACAGACACTCATTGAGGAGCTGTCCCCTAGTGGTCAGTGCACTCCCAGAGGAGAGTGCTGCTCAGCCAGAAGCTGGGCTCACGGCTGGCAAGGGTAGGGGCAGTGGCAGGAGCCTCTCCCACCTGCAATGGAGATGGGAGATAAGGAGTGAGAAGTCCTGAATTGTGAGAGGTATTTTCTATGACTGACCATCTCTTTTATAATCTGAAGAAAGATATAAAGAATATAAAATAAACACAATGAAAACTGAACAATCTTACCTACTATTCAAAGAAATGCGAGAACATTTATTATTGTTTCTAACTAAATAAATGAGGAACTATGGTGTAAGAGTGATTTTCCTGCCAAGTCTGTTTTGTGGTTTCTAGAGCTGTCTTGGGCATTTGTGGAAGAACTCTGGCTGTTACCTAACAACATGCCTCAAAAAACAGACATGGAAACATAGCTCCGCATATCTTTGAGAAAATGGCTTGACCTTCCTATAAATAGAGGGAGTCTTGAAAAGAAGCCAGATATTTTTTAATTTGCTAGGACCTATTTCTCTCACTTGTTCTCAGATTATACTACCTTTGGGTAGACCAAAATGTGGTTGTTCACTCAGCAGTTAAGCCAACAGTATTACAAGTCATGATGAAATTGAAGTGGTCCCATAGGCCAGGAAAGTGGGGAATGGATGGAGAAGGAAATTAGCTTATGAGTTGGGACAGATTGCCTGAATTTCAGGGCATAATGGGACACCATCTGGAGGCCAAGTGGTTTTCAAAGTGGACCTCTCAGAGCTGGGTTTCCATGGTCCCAGGTGTAGTTGTCAGTCTGTTGGGCCAGATGTGAATTTTCTCCCTGGGTTCTCAGGGCATCCCCTTCCTGCCAACATCATCTACCTGCAGACCTCCTTTTTGAGGAATTTTCATTGCCTACCTATGATCGCTGCTCTTTTTTTTCCAGAGACATAATTGACACACTGCAATGTATAAGTTTAAGGTATACAATATAGTGAAAATATATATATTTTATATATATATATATATATATATATATATATATATATATATATATATATATAACAAAATGATCACCACAATAAGGTTAGTTAACACATCCATCACTTCACATAGTTATAATTTTGGGGAGTGGAAGGTGGGGTGAGAACTTTTAAAATCTATTCTCTTAACAACTTTCAAATACACAATATAAGTTAAAATTTAATTAAAAGTTTCATGAATCAACAGCTGGAATGAGGATCATGTAATAATGGGGCAACTTGTGAACACCTGAGAACAGTTCCCTTCGCTGGTTGAGCCAACACTCCAGAAGGTTCCCACCACCCACTCTGCTCCCAATGCCTTTTCTCTTAAGGGCCCCATGCTCTCACTCATGTCCTTTGCATATGCCACTCACTTGCCTTAGAATGCCATCCCCTCCTTTTTGCTTGGAGAAACCCTTACCCTTACACATTCAGTCACAAGTCCCTGCCCTTGTGTTACCAATTAGTGCAAGTTATACTTATTTGTTCAGTTCTCTGTTCTGTGCTTCAATGGTAAGCACTGCTTAAGCATTGAGGGCAGAGGCTGGGTCTGATGCATCTTTGGAACAACTCTGGATCTGAGCTCACATATTGCATAGAAAATATGCTTAATAAAGGTTTTGTGATGTTCTTTCATATGTTATGTGTCAGTAGCTAAAAATTGCCATGCCCTTTGACCCAGTTATCCCCCGTCATGGGAATTTATCCAAAGGAAATAATTGAGGAGGAGAAAGGAAATCACAGGTTTGTATTTGGTAAATATTGGAAACAAGTGAGATGCTTATCAACAAAGCAATGGGGAGTAAATTACAGTACATGATCTTGATTTCAGTACAAGTACAATGATTCATCCTCTCATTGATTAAACATACTGACTGCCAAAGAGGTACCAGAAATACAGCAATGAGTCAGACGCCTTTAATGAGGATACATCTTGGCATTCTAAAATGGTCATCACAAAACCATGGAGGAACAGAAAGTGATATGTGCCCTCATGTTAAGAGAAGAAAAGCAGATTACAAAACCATCTGTACATTATGATTTCAACGAGGGTATGAACAAGATCTGGATGGGCAAATGAGAATACTGCATGGTCGGATTACAGATGGCATTTTCTTTAGCATCACTATAGCTGTTTTTCAAGCTTTAAAGTTTTAGATCATCCCAAATGTCAGCTGAAAAAAAGAAAGCCACTCCTGTGGCCCTGGCTCTTCGGGTTGGCAGTGGCTGTGAATGATGGGGTTATCTCCAGGTGGGCAGGGTTTGCCACAAGATGATTGGAAGAGAATGTTCAAGGCAGTCTGGAGGGCTGGGTCAGGGCAGGTTATTGATCCGTACATCCAGGAGCATTCACAGAATGTCACTCTAGGAACCAGCCTTTTCTGTGTCTGGGCTAGAGCATGCAGCGGACCTGCAGGCACCTCCAGGCTCTGCCAACACCATTACTTAAACACGATGCCAAGTGGGGAGCAAGTTGTGGTCTGGGAACCAGTCCAGTGTTGGGACCCGCAACAGTTGGTGGCTAGTTCTTCATACTGGAAACAAAGCTACCAATGTGAAAAGTGCCATTATCTTCATTCTACAGATGAGGAATCTGAAGCTCAGTTGTCCTAGGCCCCCCAATGGGCAAGTGATAGAGAGTAGGGATTGAAAACCACTTACCGTTTGGGCCAGGGTTCTTTCTATTCCCCTTGGGCCCAGAAGCACTTGGAGAAACATGAAGCCAATGGAAGAAATCTTGATGCCAGGGTGGGTGGACGCCTTTAAAAAGGGGAGGCAATAGGGAATCTCTTGGAGGGTCACAGAGGCCAAGCATTTGAGTTTGGACTTGAGGCAATTGGCAATGGGGAACCTTTGTAGGTTTGGGGAAATGAGAGAAGGGGTTTATTAAAGAGGAGGCTAGTGTGTGTACTGGTTGGTGTGACTGGAGGCCAGACACATGGTAAAATTTGTGGGTAGATCTGGTTCTGTCTGATCAAAGCAGCACCCACCTGTCCAGCTTCTTGGGAATACATCTCCATGAACTGCTAGCCATGAGATTGGAAGGGAAATTGCTGTATTATCTATCCCATGAATACCACCAACTGATGGGCATCTGATACAAACTTGACCAATCAGAGCCTTTCCCTGGGAATTTTGACCTAGAGACCAGAGAGGGAGGAATGGATCTCAGTTCCTTTCTGATGACAAAGCTGTGCTATGTGAGTCTGGGAGCTCAGTCACCACTCAAAGATTTGAGAATCAGAGAGAGGAAATTCTAGCTTGATTCAAACCCCGGTCCCCATGCACTCTGAGGGCTCAGCCACCCCCTTGTCAGTGCCACAGTGTGAACAATACTTACCACCTTCTTGTTACCTAAGCTAGTTTGAGTCAAACTTTTGTCATTTGTAAACAAAAAAGTTCTGACTTTTGCAGTAAGAGACATGCCTATCCTTCATCATTCACGTTTTGAGAACAAATCTCAAAAAACACCTTAGGGCTGTGGTCGGCAAACTGTGGCTCGCTGGCACCTTGAGTGTGGCTCTTCCACAAAATACCATGGCTTAGGCAAATCTATTTTGAAGAAGTGGCATTAGAAGAAGTTTAAGTTAAAAAAAAATTTGGCTCTCAAAAGAAATTTCAATCATTGTACTGTTGATATTTGGCTCTGTTGACTAATGACTTTGCCAACCACTGCCTTAGGGATTTTGTCGGGGAGCCACTGGGACCATCATTTCTTGCACATAAGAAACAAACAAAAAAATTTATCCTCATTTTTCAGAGTCAGACTCAGGAGCTACAGGCTCTCTGGAGGGCCAGGGTTTTGGGGATCTCTTCAGAGATTCATGGATGCATCTCCATCGCTGGTGTAGTGAGTCACGTTGCTGCTCAGAACACTTTCCCTCCTGCTCCTTTGTGATTCAGAAGAGGGGAAACTTGCATGCACCGATCTGCCACACAGGACAGCCAGGCATTTCCTATGCAGGTGGGAAAGGTATCTTCTGAATTTCTCTCCAGCGAATGCATAGATAAGGGGATTGAGACAACAGTGGATAAATGCAATTGTCTCAGTCACATTGAGCGCCAATTTCAGATCCCGCTTTGTGTCACATTTGGGAAAGAAGTTGTAAAAATTGAGTGTCTCTAAGAAAATCATAATGTGGTAGGGTGTCCAGAAGAGGAAAAACATGATGACCACCAGAAATACCAGTTTAATGGCTTTAGCTTTCTTGTTGTTCCTGCAGAAAAACAGTGTCTGCATGATTCTGAAGTAGCAGTAACTCATAATGAGCAGAGGGAGCAGGAAGCCAAAAATGTTTGTTTCCATGTTGCGGAGCACAGGCCAGATGTCCTGCAGGACCTCAGGGTAGTCCCCGAAGCACTGGTTTTCCGTAAGCTTTGTGAACATGAACTGGGGTGCTGCCACCAAGATGGCTGCTGCCCAGACTCCGAGGCTGATGGTGACGCCATGCTGCACTGTCCGGTTGTTCATGGAGTTAGCGGCCAGGACAATGGCCAGGTACCTATCGATGCTGATGATGGTGATGAAGAATATGCCTCCAAAAAAGCCAATGAAGAAGAAGGCAGTAGTGAGTTTGCACGTTGCATTGTTAAAGCCTTGTTCCCTTATCAGATAATGAATCCAGAAAGGCAAGGTGGCTACAAAAAGCAGATCGGACAAGGCCAGGTTCAGGAGATAAATGTCGGTGATACTCTTGGGCTTCTGACTATGGGTGAGTGCAAACACCACCAGCAAATTTCCCACCAGGCCAAAGGCAAAGACAAGGGAGTATACTATGGGCAGGAAGGTAGCTCCAAAGGCCACAATATCCCCTATATGACAGGCTTCCGCACTCTCATCATACTGAAAGTCTTCTGAAATTGATTCAGGGAAGGAGGTAGGCATGGTGACGGTCTGGATCAAAAAGGAAAACAAGGAACAGCATGAGTTCTCAGAGTGACAAGGTCAGAATTCTGTCTGTCCCCATACATAGCCTGACCAGAAAAAAAAAAAATATTGGTTGGTGCCTAAGCAATACATTTCTCAACGTCAGACCTGCCATCTCGTTGTCCCCAAGGCTGTCTCTGTGGAGGCTGTAACTGATTCCTTTCACATTAAAGGAAGTCAGTTCTCTAAGAGTGATTGGCCCAAGGCTACTCAGTCAGTGGGTCAGCTGGCATTTGGATCTAAGTTTTTTGGAGCACAAGACAAACCTTTTTTTCTTTTTCTTTTTAAAAATATTTTTATGTTTTATTTTTAGAGAGAAAGTAAGGGAGGATAGAGAAATAGAAACATCGATGAGAGAGAAGCATCATCAATTGGCTGGCTACCTCCTACATGCCCCTTACTGGAGATGGAGTGTGGTGGAACCAGTCATGTGCCCTGACTCGGTATTGAACAATGGCTTGGTTCATAGGTCAATGCTCAACCACTGAGCAACACCAGCCAAGCCAAACCTTTAAAAATATGTATTTTTAAAAGTTTCTCCAAAAGTAGCTAGCTTTATCAGTGTGTGGATGGGGGAGATAAGGCAATTGGCAGGGAAATGAGGGGGTGGGATGGTATAGGGATGTAGTCATAATTTACACTTATAGTCCCAACTTCCTAAAGCAATTCTCTGCCCCCTTCACTTATTCCCCCCTCCTCCACCCTCTGGACCATAATGTCCCCTTCAGGAAGCTGAGACTGCAGAAAGAGTCTCAGACACCATCCAGAGCCCTGAGCAGACACACACCCAACAGCCCTCATCTTTGTTTTTGGGAGCCAGGTTTTTCCTTTTCCTCTCAGAACCAACAAGTCCTTCCTTCCCTTAAGAGATAAGATAGAGTCAAAACTGGTTTGGCTCAGTGGATGGAGTGTCGGCCTGCGGACTGAAGGGTCCCAGGTTCGATTCCAGTCAAGGGCATGTGCCTTGGTTGTGGGCGCATCTCCAGTGGGGCGTGTGCAGGAGGCAGCTGATCCATGATTCTCTCTCATCGATGTTTCTGGCTCTCTATCCCTCTCTCCTCCTCTCTGTAAAAAAATCAATAAAATATATTTTAAAAAAGAGAGAGATAAGATAGATTCACATGCTCTATGGTGACTGCCTTGTCTTGGTTTGCCCAGGACTTTTCCAGTTTTTTATTTTTTAATATATTTTATTGATTTTGTACAGAGAGGAAGGGAGAGAGATACAGAGTTAGAAACATCAATGAGAATCATCGATCAGCTGCCTCTTGCACACCCCCTACTGGGGATATGCCTGCAACCAAGGTACATGCCCTTGACTGGAATCGAACCCGGGACCCTTCAGTCCCCAAGCTGACTCTCTATCCATTGAGCCAAACCAGTCCCGGCAGGACTTTTCCAGTTTTAGCACTGAAAGCCTCCTCTGTCAGAAATCCCTCACTTCTGAGCAAACCCACAAGGTAGGTCATCCAACCGCTCCTAGAGAAGAGGAGGTGTCACCATAAAAGTGCTGCTTGTCCACTATGGGGGCCTATGCTCAGCTTGCTGCACTGGGCCTGGATGGCTAATTAACTTGATAATTACCAGCCCCACACTTGACTTTGCCCTAGCTTTCCCTACTCTTCTTACTTCCTGTTTCCTCCTGAACAAACGTAGAAAGAAAAGATCCTTCTGAGCAGGTTGGGAAGTCATACTTCTCCCATGTTGTCCCTCTCCTCCTCCCCCTCCCAGCCAGGACTCACTCCTCACTCTCCAGAGGCCATAAGAAGAACCCTTATGCCTGGTCCCTGAGGCCTCCTGCTTTTGTTTGTGATATTACAGATAGGTACCTCAGAAACCTCAACCATATTTGGGGCACACCTCCTGGTTGTCATTGCCTCCCTCTCCACCACAACTAAAAGCAAAGCTCACACTTCTTTAACCAAGGGAGTTTCCACACCCCACTGCTTCCTTTTCGTGATGGTTTCACTAAGATGATGTTTCTGCCAGGGTGGAGACCCACCTGGCCAGGGCTTTGGTGCTCCCTCCAAGCCTCTGCCTTGTGTCCAGGCCCATCTCTGCATCTGACCCAGACTCTGGCAGAACTAAGTAGGCCAAGACTCTGGCCTGGGCTGTCTCAGGCTGGGATGGAGTTCTCACCCCTAGAAAAAGCCTATACTTGCTTTGCTTTAGGCTGCAGTGCCTTTACTCAGAAAAGAACCTCTGGGTGTGACCTTAATCAATAACATTTAAGTTGAACCATATAAAATGGCTAATATGCAACCATGTTAGAACCACACAAATGTCAGTTTCAAATGGCGCAAGCTGATAGGGGAAGACAGAGGTGTTGCTACTTGGTGATGGTGGCTTGATGAAAACCCATATCTTTCCAGACATGCAAATAGCAGGGCAAATAGTCAAACCCTTGGGGTCCTAATTAAGGATTCAGGGGTGAGGTACCCTCTCCCTCCCTTTCCCTGCAGTGAAAGGAGCTGGCATGCTGACCTTGAGAGGAGGCCAACATCAATATAAATCATTTTGCAACTTTTCAAGTGCCTGTGCTCAATCCTGCAGCCCAGGAACTTCAAGCTTTGGTTTGATTTTGCCAAATCTGCATGAGGTGGGTTTGATGTCCACTCTTGGCACCATGCCTTACACACGGGGCCTTCCTACAAATGTCTGGGTAAGTGTCCCTGGGTCATTGAGGAGGAAGAGAAGAGAGATGGGCAGGAAGGGTGAGGGCTGCAGATGGGCTCTCCCAAGACTGCATCCCATATCCTGCCCTCTCTGGCCCAGTGACCTTGGATGAACTTGGAACCTCTGGGCCTCATATTCCTCACCTGCAAGACTGGGGTTCATTCTCATGCCTGCCCACAGTGCTGTTTTGAAGCAAGCACCTGGCACCGTGTGTAGCATACAGCAGGCACTTAATAAATGTGTGAGGAAGCAGAAGCACTTTGGACAAACCTTTGGAGTCACCCAGGCTGTCTGTGGACTCATGTTTCACTCCCATCCTAGGTGTTATGAAAATTTGGTCTATAAAGGTTGTTTTATATCCCCCCCCCCCAAAAAAAAAAAATGTTTCCTTTCCAGATTTTTTTTTAAGTGGAGAAGAGGGGAGAGAAGAGGGAGGAAGTCAAGCTTTACTGAGCTTTTATTAAGCTTTCAGGCTCATTTCTAAATAATCCACATCATTATCTATTTAGTCCTCTCTGCAATACTGAAGGGAAAGTCCTATGTTTAATGAATGGCTCCAGGCATATTCTTGATTAGAGGAAGGGGACCGCTGGGAGAAGAGTGTGGAGAAGGTAGAAATGGTTAGAAATAAACAACTGACTTCCAGGCTACGTGGCAGGGAGGTCCAAATCCAGCCCCTGCCCTTGCTGGGTGCCCTAGTTCAAGGCCGTCACACACACAGTGATACTTTTTCTAATTGGCATTGAGATGCCAAATACATCAGGGGCAGTCCTGGTTGGAGAAGCTCAACATCCATTCTACAAACACATATGAAGTCCTACAGGCTCTGGGCTCTGCATGGCAGGGGGCACAGTCTCAGGCCTGAAGGGGCTTGTCATCTCAACAGCGAAGAGACCACAAAGGCAAAGACTTTGATAAAAACAGAATTCAGTAGTGTGGCAACTTATCCTCAAGATGGAACACGATTTAAGATATGATCCGGGAGGGATGATTGTGCCTGACTGTTGGCCTCATTGCTTATTGCAAGTAAAATGGCTGATCAGGGGGATCAGTCTGGCTTGGGACCACTACCTGCCGTCCAGAGAGTCCACTCCGGAAAGAGGATTCAGCTCCCTGGTGGCTCAGCACTACCAGCAAAGACCCCAGAATTGTCCCAGCCTCCCAGGGCTCTGCCTCAGCACTTGCACAGTGCTATGCACATAGTAGGTACTCACTCATCGAGTCCCCTGCTATGAACAATTGTGCATCATGATACAGAGAAAGGAACAGAGAAACAAAGCTTTCAACGAGCTCCTCGTTGCCTAATATAATAATACTGGCATGTTGTACATGCTCAATTAATGGTACCATAAAGAATTATTTCACTTTATGGGCACATAGATGCACTCAGAGAGGTGAGCGACTTATTCGAGGCCACACAGCTGGCATGTGGGAAGGCTGAAGTTTGAGCTCAGATGTGGCCAGACTCAGTGTTTTTCCCAACTTTGCATACAGCCCTTTCCCCAACCCAAGACTAGGGGTTCCTAAGAGAAGAACAGTGGGTGCTCTCTTCAGCTCTGTTGACTACTGTTCAACAACAAAAAAGAGATCTGGCACAGAGCCAATGTATAGGAATATTTATAGAAGAATCAATATTGTATCCTAGACCTTCATTCTAGAGCTCCATGTGAATAATGGTGACAGCAGGCCTTTCATTGCCTTGTTCCCAGAGGTGTCACAGTGTACACAGTGATCTTGGGCCACGGGTCCTTGAACTCCAGGAGCTTAGTGGCCTATATTGTGTTGATAAACGAATGAATGAGTGGGTGAATAAATGAGTGAGTGAGTGAGTGAGTGAGTGAGTAAATGAATGAATGAAAGGCCTAGAGAAGTGAAAGAAGAGATACATCAGCCTTCCAAGGCAGAGCCTCAGTAGAGAAGCACAGACCCACCCTCCAGAAAACTTAGAAAATACGGCCCTCATCTCAACACATTTAATGCATGGCTTTTGAACATGTCTGATCTTGGGACAGACACCAGAATGATCAATTTCAGTTCTTTCCTCTGTGAAAATGTCAAGGCCCAGCTGCTGTCTCAACTGTTTGACTCCAGGATGGCCCAGGTTTTTACTTGGTTGGGAAGAGGATTTGAAGTCTGTCTTAGCATTCGAGCCAGTTCAAACCCAGCCTTGTTAAACATCACTGGAGAATGTGAAGGTACCATATACATCAGAAATCTGACGGCAGGTAGGGCTTCTCCATCACTAAATTATTCCTTTGAAGCTAATAGCTTAATCAAGGGATCTTTTTAGG